AAAAAAAAAAGATAAATATTGGCAGTGAGAACTCAAAAGGCCTTATTTTAGAATTATGCACATCTTGACATGGCATTCTACACCATGAATGGCAATAAAAATGAGACATGTGGACTTAATTAATTGGCATGCCTCATTAATTTTTGCACATGCATCATATGATTAATATAAGGATGCATGAAGGTGGTTCAAATAATATAATATTAATATAAGCATGCAAGGGGAGGAGATTTAAATTATTATTTTGTTTTATGTAGTATTAACTATTAATTATGAAAACCTCCTAAGCTAGTGAGATTATGACTTCATTTAGAGTGGCTTTCTTATTGTTTCTTAAAGCAGTTTTTTAGTATAAAATTTTAATTTTTATACTATAAAGTAGTTTTAAGAAGCTGAAAGAAAGCCGTATCAAATAAAGCCTATAGCTTCAATAAATCTAATTAACAAATAGAATCTGTGAAGTATAGTCCAAAGCGTCATCCAGTTAACATATGTTAGTTTTGTGTAGACCTATCAACATTGGACCTGACCCGAAAATTTCGGGTTTGGGTTGACTCGAACCCAAAGTGGGTCGGGTTCGGGTCCTGGAAAATCGACCCGTTTGCAAAACCAGGTCGGGTTCGGTTTGACTCGGGAACCCGGAATGACCAGAAAACCCAGCTGCCCCGCTGCCCCATGCACCGCGCCCGCTGCCCCTCTGCCCCACACACAGCGCCCGCTGCCCAGCTGCACTGCTCATGCATGCCCTGCCTACCCTCGCATTGCGTCGCACGCGTCGCGTCGCCGTCACTTGCGTCGCTCGGTTTGCTCGCGTCGCGTCGCTGCCTTGCCAGCACTGCCGCCGCTACACCATTCCGACCTGTCGCTGACGCACCTTTCCGCCGCTGCACCCTTCCGGAACTCAAAAAAATCAACTCGAAGTGGGTCGGGTCGTGTTGAGTACCCGAACCCGAAGCGGGTCAAGTTCAGGTCCTGAAAATCGACCCGTTTTGCAAAAACGGGTTGGATTGACCCGAACCCGAATAGTGTCGGGTGAGTTCCGGTTCGACCCGAAACCGACCCGTGACTCGAAATTGAAAGGTCTAGTTTTCTGCACAATATAATGTGAGTTGATAGAGAGAAAAAAATATTTATCTTATCAAAATATCAGCATAGAATTAGTTGATGCACGAATGAATTTGGAGTAACATAATGTTTACGTGAAAAATCTATTTAAGAAAAAATCAAGAGTGATTCGCAGTCAAAAAATATTAGCTAATAATGTATTTTGCTATAGAGGGTGCATTTCTATAAAGCTTAAAAAGATACTTGTAAAATGTAAGAACTTAGGATAGAAAAAATCTTGTCTATATTGAAGAATACAATAAAGAAATTTTGGTTATGAAGATGTGATGAGGGGTGAGATATTTATTATTATTATTTTTTTTTAAAAAAATGGGGTAGATTAGTCAATCAAGGAACTACAAATGTTGATCAATAGCGTTGGGTGAATATTGGCAACGAGCAAAGACTAGTGTTGAATGTTGCTCATCAAATGATGGAAAATATCAGATGTTATGTAAAGTTAAGGCTTGGAAGATGGCGAGAGGGTAAGATAATAATCATCATTCATAAGGAGATGGCAAACATTAGCTTAAAGTCCATTTTGAATAACAAACACAAGATGTTAGAAGAGGAAGGTGACAAATGTTGCATGATACAATATGCTAGATGATGATGAGCATTGAATTCCAAATGATGACGAGCCTTAAAGTATGGCAGGAGTGGGATGGTGAATGTTGAATTTCAAACAATAATAGGTGTTGATAGGAAGATAGATGAGGATGATGAAGGACGCCAAATGTTAGTTAAGTGTGACAATGGAAATTGCAAGATGGTGGATGTCAAATGACAATCAGCAGATGTTAGGTGATAGTGGGCATCAAGCCTTGAGCAATTAAGAGAGAGAGTGATTATGATGAAGTTCAAATGGAAGGCATAGAATATTGAGCAACGACAAGTCCCCTTTAAGGCATGAATATATGGATGATCAATTTGTGGTAGTCGATAGGATTTGGCGAAGAATGAAAGACTACAAAAACACGACTCTATAATTATTTGCACATCAATAATTTTGAATGTTTAAAATATTTTGAATGAAAATTAAAGTGACCAACTAGTACATTTTGACGGGATATTTTGATCCGTATTAAAAATTTAGAAAAGAATATTCTTTATTCTTTTTAAAATCGAGCGCCCCACACAAAACCTGATAAAAATTTGATCGTGTGATATTGCCCTTAGGTTATTGATTGACCCCTCCTATGACATGATTGGGTTGGGCGACCAATAGTGATGATCTAACTCTGATGTGGTGGTGGCCATTAGAAACTGTCTCTAATTAGTGAACAAAATATATAAATATAAAGCTTTTCATGTCATAAGCACAATGGAGTCCATAAATAAAAATATGCAATAAAATCAGCTTCCATAATTTTGTTGTGAATTATAAAATCTCATTACTTCTTAGTATAAGCGAAGACATCATGTAAGGGCAACTAGAAATAAATACATTCAAGATATGTTGAATGTTGAGCTTCAGTTGATGAACTATGTTGAATGTTGGTCATCAAATGATGGAAAATATCATATGTTATGTAAAAGTAAGGCTTGGAAGATGGCGAGAGGGAAAGATAATAATCATCATTCATAAGGAGATGGCAAACATTAGCTTAAAGTCAATTTTGAATAACAAACACAAGATGTTAGAAGAGGAAGGTGACAACTGTTACAGGATACAATATGCTAGATGATGATGAGCATTGAATTCCAATTGATGACGAGCCTTAAAGTATGGCAGGAGGGGGATGGTCAATGTCGAATTTCAAACAATAATAGGAGTAGATAGGAAGATAGATGAGGATGATGAAGGGCGTCAAATGTTAGTTAAGTGTGGCAATGGAAATTGCAAGATGGTGGATGTCAAATGACAATCAGCAGATGTTAGATGATAGTGGGCATCAAGCCTTGAGCAATTAAGAGAGAGAGTGATAATGATGAAGTTCAAATGGAAGGCATAGAATATTGAGCAACGACAAGTCCCCTTTAAGGCATGAAATATGGATGATCAATTTGTGGTAGTCGATAGGATTTGACGAAGAATGAAAGATTACAAAAAAATGACTCTATAATTATTTGCACATCAATAATTTTGAATGTTTAAAATATTTTAAATGAAAATTAAAGTGACCAACTAGTACATTTTGACGGGATATTTTGATCCGTACTAAAAATTTAGAAAAGAATATTTTTTATTCTTTTTAACATCGAGCGCCCCACACAAAACCTGATAAAAATTTGATCGTGTGGTTATTGATTGACCCGTCCTATGACATGATTGGGTTGGGCGACCAATAGTGATGATCTAACTCTGATGTGGTGGTGGCCATTAGAAAATGTCTCTAATTAGTGAACAAAATATATAAATATAAAGCTTTTGATGCCATAAGCACAATGAAGTCGATGAATAAAAAATATGCAATAAAATCAGCTTCAATAATTTTGTTGTGAATTATAAGATCTCATTACTTCTTAGTATAAGAGAAGACATCATGTAAGGGCAACTAGAAATAAATACATTCAAGATATTCAAAAATGAGGCTCCAAACGAGTTATCACAAGCAATGGTTGATTAACATATATGACTTAGAATTGTTCATGTTTGATGGCTTTCATCAACTATAACTAGGGCTGTTAAAATCGAGTCACGGGTTCGGGTCCAATCCGAAATTGACCCGACACTATTTAACCCGACCTACTTCGGGTCCGGGTCAACTCGAACCCGACCCGATTCGGGTGTATTTTGTTAAATGTTTTTATTTAATTCAATTTATTTAAATCTAAATCAAATTAAGGTAAGATTTACTTCAATTAATTTAAAATAAATCAAGATTAATTTAATTTGGGCAATAATGTTTATAATTTTTTGAAATATCATTTACTTATTTCATAAAAATTCATTAAAACACTCCTAAATTAATTAAAAACGGGTCAAACCGGGTTGATTTCGGGTTTCCGGGTCAATCCGAACTCGACCCGGTTTTACAAACGGGTCGAAATCCCTAACCCGAACCCGACCCGGTTCGGGTTTGGGTTGACCCGAATCCGAAATTTTCGGATCGGGATCGGGTTCGGGTGGGGTCAAATATTGACACCCCTAACTATAACATTTACTATTTGTAGTATTTTTGAGAGCTTTGTTAATAAGCTTATTCTAATGGAGAAATTGGAGAGTTTGGACTATTAATGATTCTTAAATGTTGCTTACAATGTGTCTGTTGGTGTCATCGTCGGTGCCTTTGCAAACGTTAATGATCCCTTTGATTCCTGTGCTGAATGAGCTATTGTCATGAGCATGTTGCTACTTCCATAAATGCCTTTTCTTGAATGCCAAGTTCAAATATGGGAATCAAGGCCAAAAAGCTAGAGTTGATCTTGGCTCAAATTTGATTCTAGAATGATTTGAAATTCACTAAATAATTAGGGCATCCTTAATATCTAAGATTCCCATCATAAAGTTCATAAGGAAAAAAATAGAGTCGATCTTGGTGGGAAGACGGGGATCGTGTAGACAGCGGTAGGTGAGGCTAGTGCACGATAGCGGGCACATGGTCAACGCGGGACAGCGGGCAGACGCTGTGACGTGAAAGGCGGGAAATTCATGCGACATAAGGATAATGGACATACTAGGACGCGACAGGTGGGCAGATGTCGGGTTAACCCGGGCAGCGTGGTCAACTCGTTTCAAACGGGTTTTTGGGTCAACCCGTCGGGTTTTCGGGTCAACCCAAACCTGACCTTTGCGAAGCGAGTTGATCCTAAACCAAAAATTTTGGATTGATTTGAGTCAGATTTTCGGGTCATGTCAAATATTGACAGCTCTAAAATATGGATGAAAATGAAATTGATAAAAAAAAATAATAATAAAACCATAAATTCAATCTAGTTAGTTCTACCCTATACTATACGGTTTCTTCTTGGCCGGTCGTCATTAGGTAGGCGCTAATCTCCTGCTGCGGTCGGATTTCGAAACCCTTTCATCTCCATGCGGAAGCGTCCCCAAAATATACTGAACCCTAGATCGATTATCTTCTCCCGCTCTCTTCTTGCAACCCTTCATGTGTGAGCATAGGGCGCAGGAGTACGACATTGGGCCTTGGGCTTGATCCCTCGTTAAGTGGAGAAGAGAACGATGGCGTCTCTGTTCAAGGTCAGCCCCTTCAATTTCGTCGGCATTTTCTTTTTTCGATTGATTAGATTTGTTTCATAGTTGAGACCAGGGATATAATTCTGTGACTATTGCTTTTCAATTTATTCCATCTGAAATTGTTGGTGAGGAGGCCTTGTTTAACTGTAAAGTCTACGAACTTTATCTCAATTTCGTTGATTTGTTTTCGGGTATTGTTGTGGAACTGAGCTGCAGTTGCATTTCATGTATCCGCTTCTTTGGTTCGGTCTCTTGCTTAGCATATGGAACTATTGTTAGATGCGTGATGTTGGTTTTTTATTTTTTTGGATGTTTTGCTGCCACCTTAACGTTCGTTCTGATGCGTTTAAAGGACCCGAACAAGCTTTCGGCTTATAGGGATAGAAGGTTCCAAGGCACCCAGGAAGAGTACGAGCATGCTTTGCAAACCTCGATAACAGTTTATATTGGCAATTTGTCGTTCTACACAACTGAAGAGCAGGTTTATGAGCTCTTCTCCCGTGCTGGAGAGATCAAAAAGATAATTATGGGTCTAGATAAGAACAGCAAGACTCCCTGTGGCTTTTGCTTCGTCTTGTAAGCTTTTCTATCCACACTTAAATGCTTCCATATGTGTGAATTTTTCAATCACCTCTACAAGCTTTATCATCTAAACTTTAAATTTGGTCATGGTTAACTTTATCTTTGATAGAGCAGGGGGTTGTGTGTGAATAAAAAATTAATGACATATGTGTTGCAGATGAATGAACAGGAGTTTGAAAAGAAAAATTTATGTAGTTGTCATATTATTTCATAGGGGTGTATGTTGAATATCCATTTTTTGTTTTTGCAATCCGAAAAGATGCAAAATATATGCTTTACATATTTGTGTTACAAGTGATTGTTTGAAATATTTTTTGACAACAGAAAATTTGTTCATATGAAATATGAGAATAAAGCGTATTGCTTGTCAATGAATATAATATTTAATTCATTATGGTAGAAAAAATATGAAGGCCAAAATAAATAAATTGGTAAAAAACACAAGCCTTAGAAGTAGAGATTAAACCTTTTCCTTTAGAACATATAACGTCCCTTCTTGCGGGATTCATCATCACTAATGCCTTATAATCATTTTTAAGACTCGTTCCATTCTTCTACTATAACATTAGGGGTGTTCATTATTTGGATAAAACCAAAATATAGATTAATCTTATTTCAATGATTTGGTTTGGTTGTTAAAGTATTGATTAAGTTATTGTTTATAATTTAACTTTATTTGGCTTTGCTTTTTTAAACCGGTAATATCAAAATTGAATTATGTTAATTTCTTTAAATGTTAAATCAATAAAGTAATGCAAATAATTAAATTTCATAAAGATCAACTTCGATATTATTTATTCTATATGCCAAAATTATAAATCTTAACAAAGATTATTTGCAAACCTCGACAACAATTTATATCGGCAATTTGTCGTTCTACAAAACTGAAGAGCAGGTCTATGAGCTCTTCTCTCATGTTGGAGGGTTCAAAAAGATAATTATGTTTCTAGATAAGAACAACAAGTTTAAAAAATAACTTGAAGGCCAAATGCTATACTAGTTTTTTTTTTTTTTAAAACTCTTCCAATGCACAAATTCTATACTAGTTTTCTCTTTTTTTTTTTCTTGATGTGAAGCTGGAATGAACAGTGCTGTGATTATTTTACTTCTCAGGTATTATTCTAGGGAAGATGCCGAAGATGCAGTTAAATATATCAGTGGGACCATTCTAGATGATCGTTCTATTCGTGTAGACTTTGACTGGGGATTTGAAGAAGGAAGACAATGGGGTCGTGGTCGTAGCGGCGGACAGGTGATATTTATTTTTGGCTGATTGTTTCATTGTGCTGTAGAATTTGTTCTTTTGTTAATTCTATTCTTTTTTAGGTGCGCGACGAGTATCGTACGGATTATGATCCTGATATCCTTATTGATAACATGGTTTTTGTAAAGTAGATTGCAGATCAGTTTAATTCTGTGTTTTTGGGATACCATTTTGCGTTTGAATTCATGACTATGCTTAAAGCCTTAAACCATGCCCTTCACTCCTGCAATGCCATTCTAACATGTTACTAATGCTCATAATGTTGTAACCCTTCATCC